ATGTCAACCAAGTCAGCGAGTCTGACCATCCGATCCTGTTAGTCGCCTCTTACGACAAGCATGGGTAGCTCAAGACCCGTATCTTCACGGATCAGCTTATAAGCTCTGGTAGGCTATGCAGGGGCGGATACAGCTTTTTGAGAAAAGGGGGAGGGGGGGGGTGCACACTATTGAGAAAAGGAGGGGTGCACACTTCATTTTCACCCGAGTTTCAATGGTCATTTAACAAACATTCAGCACAAGGAAGGGGGCAACCCCCCTCTGGATCCGCCTATGCTATATATAAAGCTTTGGGAAGTTTGAGTCATCAAATCAGTCATTATCATACTATTTACGCAGTAGGAAATTAATTTGAATGTATCTTTTGCTTTCTACTTCCGTCCGTGTCGATTTTTATCTTTTTCCCGGGGAATGACATTTGTAAAAACACTAACACTGGTGACGTCAGAGTGGTCTAACACTCCCACTGAGCATGTACAGAAGTACACATATATCGCCAAATACTATGGCCCACAGACCCCGAGTTGACGACAGTTTGGTTTAAAACGGACACACGGCATTTACTGAAGTACGGATAACTCGACAAATTTGATGTCCCAAAGAGACCGATGTGACGCCAGAGTTTTCTAATAAGGACACCGCATTTGCAGAACTACGGATAACCCGCATACTTTGGCCCATAAACCCCGAGTTGACAACTTTTTGGTTTGAAACAGGCACACAACATTTACAGAACTACAGATACCTATACAAATCCGACGGTTCAAACACTAATGCACGACGCCATAGTTGCCCAATAATGACATCGCTGCAGAACTACGGATAACTCGACAAATAACATGGCCCATATACATCGAATTGAACAGAGAATGATTTAATACTGACACATTGCACGTACATCGGATAACTCGACAAATACGCCCCAAAGACATAGGCCTATCGGCGTTTATCTTAACTACAGCCCGCTCTAATTCAAACACACTCTTCTAAAAACACAGGTGGGTTAATGTCCTGTAAGCAATTACGTGTGGACACCATTCGGCCTTGTTGCATGGCCTTTAATATGATTTAGGTGAGCCCGAGGCGTCTCGGCCGTTAGGTTAAGTGATTCATTGTTTTAGATGTCCATCCACGTTCTGTATTCTCAAACAATGCAGGTCTCATCACCATTGATCAGTTTACTCTGCCTGCTAATCCCACGGCGACAGCTGAGGGTTTTGTTTATTTGTTTGCTTGCTTGCTGGTAATGCCTATTGTTTCACGGTTCGTGTTTGTTGAGCGGTGCAGATTCAAATCTTACACCACGGTGCCGTGAAACAGCGTCGCCAGGTGCAGCGTTGCATCATTGGAAGAATGTGGCGGTGGCCTTGAACGTCGGAGTTTGGAGAGCAGGTGCGTAAGTTCTTGTGACGCTGCTACTGACAGAAACATAACTAAACGGTTAGGTCATTTAAATTTTACGCCGCTTTTAGGTCATTTGAAGAGTCAGATACGTGAGCAAACAAGGAAAAAGATACCGGGGCACACTCATATAAAGCTTTTAACATCACAGTAAAACTATTGTTTACATTACATCAAAAAGCATTGTTTACGTTCAACAACAGTGTAACAAAATACTTGTCACACAACATGCTACCTAACAAAGTCAAAGTGAGTGAGTGAATATTGTTTTACGCCGCTTTTAGCAATATTCCAGCAATATCACGGCGGAGGACACCAGAACTGGGCTTCACACATTGTACCCATATGGGAACCGAACCCGGGACTTCGGCGTGACGAGCGAACGATTTAACCATTAGGCTACCCTACCGCACCGATACAAGAGAGTCACAACAAGAATCATTATATCAGTGTTAGCGTTCAGTCATGTGACTGATTACGGTAAAACCATGTCAGTCTAGACAAAGCAGGACGACCATCCCCAGGATGTTCTGCATACATGCAGTCATTGTGTAATTGACATTGCGAACAACGTTCACGCAACTGAGATACAATGACAATCAGATCAGTCACTGAGCCTGGCCCCACCATTGATGTACACCATCTCTTTATACAATGTTACACACAGTGACCATCTATTAAATAGTCTACTACATAATGTTCTATACAACTGTACCCGCCATTTGACTCTATTCAATGTTCAGCGACGTAACAGTCTCTCCTAGTGTAACACAACGTGATGTTTTATGCGATATCACATGGCGTAATGCACTTTTAGTTTCACAAAATAATGTTTTTTTAGAATGCACTTTTAGTTTCACAAAATAATGGGTTTTTTAGAATGTTGCACAACATAATGCTCTACCCAGTGTTACCCGACATAACGATCGGACCAGTGATTTACCATGTAATGCTTTTTTACACAACATACTGCTCTATACAATGCTACAGCATGTACAGTGATTTTAAATACATCACATGATATAATGTTCTTTTTAAAAAATAAAGAATATAATATTCTATACAGTGTTACTTTTAGTGCTTTTTTATATTACAATATAATGTTTTAAAAGTATTGTTTTGTGTAGTGTAACACAAAAACGCTCTATCCATAGTTACACAATATTGTGCTTTTATACTATGTCACACAAAGTAATGCTCTATCACTATGTCACACAAAGTAAAGCTCTATCACTATGTCACACAAAGTAATGCTCTATCACTATGTCACACAAAGTAAAGCTCTATCACTATGTCACACAAAGTAATGCTCTATCACTATGTCACACAAAGTAAAGCTCTATCACTATGTCACACAAAGTAATGCTCTATCACTATGTCACACAAAGTAATGCTCTATCACTATGTCACACAAAGTAAAGCTCTATCACTATGTCACACAAAGTAATGCTCTATCACTATGTCACACAAAGTAATGCCCTATATACTTTCCATGTCTGATAGCTTAATTAATATATTTTATAATGCTGCACATTTGATTGCTCATTTCAGAGCCAGACCATGAATATGAACAGTGATACAATATGATTACAAACAATCTAACACAGTAGAATGTTTCAACATTACATCTCACACCTTAAAACGTCAATAAACTTAAAACGCCAGTATTTGAATCCATTGAGAAATGGCAATCACGGATGATTTCACAGACGCTTATAACAGTTATTTCACAAGGGGTTGCAAGGCTAAAAAACTGTCACAAACTTATATACTCCCCATCAAAAGTTTAGACTCACTGGAGTAAATGTAGCCACTTACTATCAAGTATTCTAAACTAGATTTTGTAAAATAATCCATACAGTTTAAAGGTACTGTTTATACATGAGCTGATGTATTGTAAAACAAATTCGTGACGATGAAAAGTTTATTGTCATGTGTTCAATAAATGATGAAACTCGGTGAAAAATGGCGATTTTTTAAATCAAAACTTTACACCAAAACGCAGCTGTTCACATGCACGATATTTCCACATGCTTTTCAGCAATTTGATGCATGATCTTCGTGCAATTAATCTGCATAAGGTTTGCACATGTTTCCTCCAAGTTAATGGAGAAATTCATCTTCGTTGTAACCATATGTACCTTATAGTGATTGATTTAAGCGAGTCTAAACTTTTGATGGGTAGTATATATTGTCACTGAAAGGGTCTTAGCACCAAGCAAAAGGACGTTTCCATTGTGCTATGACTCCGTCAGTTAAAATATATACATTGATATTTAATGCAGATATAACATTTAGCATTTACCTTAGTAGGAGGAGTACATTTGTTTTTAACAGACGCTGCAGATCTCTGAGTGGCAACAGCAAATCAACACTGAACGGATCGGCGACTATGGGTGGAAATGTTATATTTTACGAACGCTTCGATATGAAATGGCACATTACCTTGGGATGGATCGTATTTAGAAAATACATTTTTTCACTTAAATTTCGTTAAAGTACATAACAAATGTAATCATCATCATGATGTTCTGTTTACTTCAACAAAATCATTTCCTTTTCAATTTGTGTTTCGATGTTTACTGGAGGAATTGCAAACATTTAAGCTGAAACGACACATTGAAGTGACAATTGTAGAATATGTTTTGTTAGTTAGCGATGAGGATAGCTGACATTTTGTCGGGAAAGTGGATGTCATTTAAACTTGGTTCGTCTAACGTAAGTTAATATGGGTTTACTGTATTTATACAGCAGCGTATCTGCACTTGCGATCGCCTTTGTGTGTGCCTGTGCGTGTACTGCTTGTACTAGTTAGAACTAAATGAACTGAATAGTTAGCTCTGAGTTTAACGGGATACCCTACTCACCCACTCAGACACAGTACACCGAGCCGACCAGAATAACTGGATACCCTACTGAAGCCGGCCATCTCTTGGTTAACCCCTTAGGGGCCGTTCATAATGTATGGCTTTTTTTGTTTTTGTTTGTTGGGGTTTTTTTGGGGGTTTTTGGGGGTGTTGTTTTGTTTTTGGGGAAGAGGAGGAGAGGAAAAAGAGAAGATATGATGATTTTTAGGGGGTGGTGGGTCACCCATTGTGTTCGGTGGAGGAAGGGGTCGTCAATTTTGTACACGTTTCCTGGGAGACAGCAATTTTGTACATAAAAATATTTTTAAATTATGCTTTAAAAATATGGAAAGGGGAGGGGAGGTCATTGACTTTGTACATGACATGCAGTGGGGTCACTTACTTTGTACATAAATTTTAGGGGGGGTCATTCACATTGTACATGCTTCTCCATGAAAATTATCATCACCACCACTAGCCATAAATTATGAAGGGTCCATAAACGCCGAGCGCATGACAGGGTAACACCAAGTACCCATTCGTAACTACTCGTGTCATTCCGGCAAGCCGGATGGCTAGGTCACGGAAAGAGTCGAGTATTTACGAATGACCAAGTAAATTTTAGCGTCCATTTATATGATGCGGCTGGGGAGTGAACCACCTACCATCCGCACTACGGGCAGGGGTTCTATCCGCTAGACCACGGTTATCGCCGAAGAGACAGTCCGAGACACCATTGTGAACGTTAACGTATTACAGTAATAACGTTTATTCGTTTCGAACGTTTATTTAACACAAAGCAATATATGATATACAATGTAAAATATCGACGCAATACAGGACATACATTCCACTTGCATGTTAAGTACGCAGTTACAGCAACACAGAGCAACGCTAGTCTGTCTCCATATCATTCTGACAAGAACCGAGGGTTCCGTGCAATTACACGAGCCTCTAATAACTACGGGCCCGTGAAGATCCGGGTTAGAATTGATCTTCAGCAACACATGCTTGACATAAAATGCATGTCATCGTCTCCCAATTGCGTAGATCGATGCTTATGATGTCAATCACTGGACTGTCTGGTCCAGAATCCATTATTTATAGACCGCAATCATATAACTGGAATATTGCCGAGTGTAGCGTTAAACAATAAACAAACAAAACAAAAGAGCTAGTGAAAAGGGAAAAAATATGTTCAGGGACTGAAGCAGGTGTGATGGGACCATACTGGCCGTAAATGTATTTTAGAAAGCTGTAATATCTATTTGAAACCAATTCAACGCATAATCCTGCAAACAGAACTAAATCATGCATATCAAATAATTATCGTTTTTACACAAAATTGAATCCTGATTACAATACAAAGACGGCGACTCCAACATTAGCAAAACTTGGGGATCGAACTCAGCTGGAAAAGCGAACGCTCTAGCAACTAGACTACCCTACCAATCGACTTTATTGATAACAGCAATAACTAATACATAAGTTAAAACTCTTACTTATCCGAATACATCTTTCAAATATATGTTAACTAGAAATCGTTAAAAAACGTGACGAGCATCGATATCACCTGAATGGTCTCAATGCATGACTTGATTAATCGAGATTAAGCCTTAAATGTCAAGTAGCTTCACAGTGCGATAATCATAGATCTCTGCATGTGCTATTGTTATACGCTAACTGTAACATGGTACTAAGGCAACCAATTTGATAAATACAGTGAATATATCTTTTTTTTTTGTAGAATTCAGATGTTAAATTAGATGTCTAAAGCAAATACAATTTTAGAATTTTCTTATTACTTAGAATGTCGATGTAAAAGATTTACATCAAACTGAAATGTTATATTGGTGGCAGTACGTCTAAATATAACTGACGTAGTAAACTGCTCAAAACATTTGGTAGGTTGTGGAAGGTTATCATGGATGTTGGCAAACGACTGGCTCAAGAAATCCCTGGCAGGTTTCTTTTCAGTATCTGTTAACATCAGATTTCCTCCACCAAGAACACAGCTCCGAGTCTAGAATTCGTTCTGTAAGAAAGGATGCCTTCGTGTCTTCGCTTTGTATTGTTCAGCTTTGTATTGTTCACGGAGTTCTAGTTCTGGGTCAAACAGGTTCTGACCCTGGACGTTGAACCCTTCTTGAGCCAGCATGACCTTCGGCAGGACCAGCGACTCCATCTTGAATCCACAGAACGGTATTGGAAGTTTTGTGTCAGCATCTGCAACGCTTCCGGACTTCACGTTGACCTTGAGGATCTTATCCAGGAATGTCCCATTCTCATCCTGTCCACCGACCACCATGAGACTGTGCCCGTCCACATACAACCCAAACTTGGATCTTCCTTCAAATTCCGCAACCTTTGACAAGGACTGGGTGGGGTCGAACCGGAAGACCATCCCTTCTTGAGTGAGGACATAAATGTTGGAATTGAAAGCAATTGCTGAAGTTGCTGATGTTGACTCAGGCAACGATGCTACCAAACTGCACTTTGTGTTGCTTGGATCGAAACACTGGATGGCAGAAGAGCTCTGGCCATCTTCATCCGTTCCACCAAAGGTATATATTTTTTCATTCATCACTGCAGCAGAGAGGCTATCCAAAGGAATCTCAAGTTTTCCAACCTTGGACCACGTTCCTCTTGTCGTGTTGTATGCCTCAATGTCCTTGACGATACCGCTGTCCTCCTCCATTTGGGAGTTTCTTCCTCCCAGAATGTAGACATTTTCTCCGACAACGACCATGCTGTGGCACTCTCGTCCTGTGATGAGGGATGGTTGATCGAGCCAGTCATTGTTGCCTGGGACGTACTTGATGAATGTGTTCAGACTCCGAGATCCCCCAGAAACATACATCTCATTTTGGTAAGTACATACTGCAAAGTCCTCACCAGGTTCTTGAGGCATGGAAGCAACCGTGTACCACTTTCTCCGATTCAAATCATAACAAAGAACGCATTTAAGTGGATCATCTGTCATGAAATATCCACCAACGAGAGCTTCAACCTTTCGGTAATTGGGGTCATTCCTCAGTTTGGTCTGCTTTGCCATCACTTTCGATTTCTCATCTGGCTTCATGTGGCAACGCGTGGCTTCCATCACAAATTTAAAGAAGCAGGTGTTTTTCTGCATAAGATCATGATCCAGGAGGAGTCTGTCATAGACAAAGGACGACGACATCTTGGGTACACAAACAAGGCTCAGCAGGTCTTCCATGTGTTCTTCCCTCTCAGAGAGGTCAGATTGGATCCATGAAATGACAGCGTCACAGATGGGGTCCTCGCTGCTGGAGTTCAACTGGTCATCGTCCAAAATGGCTACAACGTCGTCCATGTCCAAGGCCAAGAAGTCTTCCTGGTGGCTGACCTCCTCAAAACTGAAACATGGATGTGCTGAACTTAAGTGGATGGATCAAATGATGGTGAGTATTCACAGACACTTCGGGTTAAATTCAAGTTGTTCACGACTCATTTCGGACTATGACGTTCACGTAATGTGGAGTGAAAACTAAAAATCCTTTCAACAGTGTCTATTGAGTGTGAGTATGAGTGAGTGAGTATGGTTTTACGCCGCTTTTAGCAATATTCAAGCAATATCACGGCGGGGGACACCAGAAATGGGATTCACACATTGTGCCCATGTGGGGAATCAAACCCGGGTCTTCTTCTTAACCACTAGGCTACCCCATCGCCCCTCAACAGTGTCTAACATTGTAAAGTTTGTGACCGGTTGTTTGCAAACGACAGCATTATTTCAGATTTATCATGAAGGCATAAACAAACTCAACTCTGCAAAACCTAAGCGTAATAGCATGATACAACGATTAGGCTTCATACAGTTAAAAACATCTATCTTAATATCAGCCTAATGGCTGCTTGGGTTGTCCGGCTCTCAACGGAAGCGCTTTTCTCACCCAATACCTCTTGAGTAAAATGTATGACGACCTGGCTATGTTCAGCACATACCTCAGCTGAGAAAAAATGATTTATTTTCATTTATATTAAGTCTGTAGTTATTGATCATAGGCTTACTTTCTCAAAATAACTGCCCAGGCCGTGTCCACCAGTGCAGGACAACCGAATGTCTTGCCTGCTTTCCAGATTCCCATACAGTTACTCGAGTTGAGACTCTTGCTCATGTATTCCACACAGGCTTTCTCCAAGGGTTTTATCTGGAGCAGGACTGCAGCTTTCAGAATGTCCTCCACAGATTCCGAACTGACAACATTCTCGCCATAATACATGTACAACAGGAGGAGTTCAAAGGTTCTCTTGGAGACATCTTGCAATTCTACCTCCCCATTCTGGCTCTCCTGCATACCGGAAGTAAGAAGGGACCGGAAGTAGCCTGACATGGCTGCCATTATCACTTGATGGCACTTAAAGACCTTGCCCTCAACTTTGACCTGAAGATAATAAGACATGCGACCTTATGGATAACAACTTTTTGTTTATTGCAAAGAGTGACATTTCGATGTGTATTTTTACAGTTTTTCGAGCTAAAAGTGACTGCAAACAAGTGTTGAGTAGTAAAAATACAGAGTAAGTTGTGACAAACATCAGATTAACATTAACAACAGTATGTAACTGAAAATAAAGCATGCAGCTTTATGGATAACAACTTCTTGTTATCACCTTATTGAACAGAGCAACGTTTCGGCGTTGATACACGGTTCACAAGCTAACAGCCCCTGAGCAATAAACAAGAAGTTGTTATCCATAAAGTTGTATGTTTTATTGTTGACTCACCAACTAGAATGCAGAGCAAACAATTACCATGTAATTGAATAACAAGTGGCACATAATTGGATGAGGTGAGGTGAGGTGAAGTGAAATGGGGTTTAACGTCGTGCTTGAGAATATTTCGCTCATATGACGATGTGCATGCGTGTGTATGTGCGGCTGCTTGTACTAGCCCAGACTTAAGCTGGTTTTATAGTGCTAGCCCACTCAGATACCATGCCGCAGTTAATCATGAATACCCCACTCAGACACAGTATACTGACTCCGAGCCGACCAGACCTTGTTGTACCCATTAATGCCGAGCGCCAGGCAGGGACCAACAAGTACCACATTTTAACGTCTTTTGGTATGACGCGGCCGGGGATCGAACCCGCGACCTTCCGCTCTCCGGGCGGACACTCTAACCACTACACCACGGAGGCGGTCTCATACTTGGATGAGACCAGGTGGGGAGTAAGAACTACAAATAGCAAAACAATTAAACAGTTTGACCTGAAGGTCGGTGAGTTCTTCTTCCTTGAACATGCTGGCCAAGGCGTCGTGCAGGTGGGTCAGTACCTCCCCACGAAGAAGAGTGTCCCGGACGGAGGGTTCTGTGATTGTCACCCCTTCATCATCCGATAGGGTTTCCTGGACGTAGCGCAGGCTGGCCATCTCTTCAGGATCAAAGTCGTCTCTATAAAAGAGTGAGTGAGTTTAGTTTTACGCCACACTCATCAATATTCAAGCTATATGGCGTCGGTCAGTAAATAATCGAGTCTGAATCAGACAATCCAGTGATCAACAGCATGATCATCGATCTACGCAATTGGGATACGATGACATGTGTCAACCAATTCAGCGAGCCTGACCACCGGATCCCTCTATAAAATAACAAAGGTTTACTTTTCGTTAGACATTCATTTAATCATTATCCACTCTATGTTGTATTTTATTTGTCAATGGGGGCACTGGTGGCCAAATCGTCTAAGGAGCAGTTCAGCGCGATGTGCAGAGTTAGGTACCCCCAGTCACATCGTTGTAATCAGACATGGGCTTCATACATTGTACCCAATGGGAATTAACCCGGATCTTCGGCGCGACGAGCGAACGCTTCAGCTGCTGCGCTACCCCGCCCCGCTCTTAATGCATATAGGGTGTCACAGTCGACCAATGCACTACGATTAGCTTACAGAGTTGCGTCCCTTAGTTGTGGGCGTATGATTGTGGGTTGACATTCCAGCTTTACCCTCATTACGTTTCTAGGTTTGTCAATACGATACCCATTCTCGTCCTCGTTGGTTTAAAAAGGGTGAAAATCACTAAATCCTGAATGTCGTCCCACATAAAGCCAAATAACTGAATTTCGTTTCAAAAGTTTTTATAAATATTGTTTTGAAAATCCCACTTTTAAATCCAGGAAATAACACCAGGTGACAGCAAGCCCGATTATGGCATTGAGCACTTCGTCATTTAAAAATTTTCCACATTTCCTCAGCATCATAAATTCATTTCACTTTCACTTCTACACTGTAAAAATAGGGAAACCCTAGTTTCGAATCTATTGTCCACCTATATTTGGTATTTATAGAGATATCCGTCAAATAGCAAATAGGAATATGCTGAATCAAGCCCGGCAGAAAATCAGTGAAAAGAAGGATGTTATGTGAAACCCCCGTTGTTTAGCGGTATTTATCTCCAATGTTTCCCTGTAATACTAAACCAGCCGATTTGGTACGTTGTCACACAATCATCCAGCTAAACTAGTCTCTGAATAAATACAGCTTTGATAAATAATCCCCTTCAAGGCCAAAAGGAGCCCAAGTGAGATGGGAGAATCCGAGGAAATCTAGACTTACTGCATTGAGAGATTTAGCATAACAGAAAGGACTGAGAGGAAGGAGAAATAATGTGGTTCAGGGGCTGTGAGACAGACTACGAACCAGCTAACTGAACCTTATTTGCCTAACGACAAGCTATTAGTTTGTTTCCATCATTTTGATATTCTAACAAAATATATATTTTAAAACAAAACATTGCTGTCATTGTGTACAAGTTTTGCCCTTCCCCATATGTAGACAGTAGATTAATCCGTGAAGGTCCGGGTTAGAATTGGTCTGTAACCCATGCTTGTCGTAAGAGGCGGCTAACGGGATCGGGTGGTCAGACTCGTTGACTAGGTTGACACACGCGTATCCCGGTTGAGTAGATGCTCATGCTATTGATGACTGGATTGTCTGGTCTAGACTCGATTATTCACAGACTGCTGCCATTTAGCTGGAATATTGCTGAGTGCGACGGTAAACTAAAAACCAAACAAACATAAAAAGTAGATTGGTATTTTCGAGTATTATTCCGCTATAAATATTCACACTTGAGAACCCTGTACTGCGATCCCAACATCAGGCGACCCCAGCCGAGTGCTGGGTGGGATTTGTCACTGAAAGCCCGCCTCACACTCCCTACTGTAGACTAAGGCTTAGTCTCTGAATATATAAAATTTTGATAGTAACAAACAAGCCCATTGATATTGAAAAGGAGCCCCTGGGAGACCAGAGATTCAGAACCTGGGGAAATCTAGACTTGCTTCGTTAAGGGCTTTAGCACTACAGGGAAGGCTAGGCTGTAGGGAAAATAATGTGGTTCAGGGACTGTGAGACAGACTATCCCTACTGCAGTAAGTTGAGTAATCAACCCAATCCTGTTTCTCGCTAAACGCAATGTCAGCTGTGGCATAATATCAACTGGTGACCAATGCACGCATATGAAACACAGACGCATGCACGCTCGAGCGCACACACATCCAAATATTTCTAAAGAATAGCGATACAAGTAAGTAGGACGTAAACTTGGCAAACTATATATCTGAATACCAGCCATTGGACGCGGGCTAAATATGGCGAGTTTACTCACGGTACTAGTGAGGCCATCCTGTAGTCAACGCTACTTCCTCAGTGTCCTTGTCTTAGCAAATGAAACTGTAACTGGTTATTCCCACCCACTGCGTATAATCAGAAAATTCCAAACCTATCGGCATTCCCTACTTTCGCTTTCAGGCTTCCGGACTTAGTGTTAGTCTAAGGGAGGTAAGTCGCGATGGCCTCCGATTTAATAAAACTTCATACGGTTATAGGTAATTGTGGGATCGAGTCCCCATACAAGCATATTATTTTTCAAGCTAATTTTACCATACCTTCATGTCTGTACAATTAAATGTCTTCGTCACAATTGACATACATTCATAACAGAGAGTTATATCATGCAAGGATAATATTTTCATCCGTGTCAAGAAGTTGCAAAACAGTGACGATAATCCTCTTTACATATATAAATTGTCATGTATACGTTTATATGCTGTCGACTAATCGAGAACATATAATCACAGATAGCCTGCGAGTCTAGATACTCTCTCATTACCTTATATGTACTCTATTGCATACATGAAAAAAACTCTCTGAAGGAGACCTCGCTTACCGACGTTCATCTTCCCTTGGCAAGGTAGTTAACTGGCTATAACAGTCCAGTTTCCACCCTTGTCGAACAAGCAATATAAGAGGCTGGATCTTTACACGTGGAGGTACACATACCAGCCGAAAGAGATCGAGCCCCGATATTCCAGTGGAAAATGGACTTTCCTGATCAGTTAACTCCCCTTTAGGATGGTTGCTAGTCTGTCATACAGACCCTAAAGCAAACATATCTAAGAAAGCCCACGCAAGTCTAGAAAATGTGGCAAGTCTAGATTTCCTCAGCTTCTGAAAATGAAGAAAGTATCAGGGCTCCTTTTCATTATATATTTTCTATTTACAATGAATTTTTCTTCAGTAAAATATGTTCATTTCAGAGACTAGTTGTTAGTCTAGATGGTTGCCGCAATGCATTGCTCGATACAGTGTACACTCACATGACTGCACCATTCTGTTATTGTTAGAGCCAAAAGTGTCAGTAATAAGTATATCTGCTGATATTTTGTTTGTCTGCCAGGGATGAAGTCTCGAATCTTTTCGTTACCTGACCAGGTCGTTTGCTAAGGTAGTTATATTTATTTTTTACTATGAACTTTTTTCAGTAAAATATGTTCATTTCGGAGACTAGTTGTTAGCCTAGGGGTGGCATCACGATCGAGCCAAATAATAGTTAAGAGTTTATACTTGACTTTGATATGGGCAAGTGGGCACACTCTTGCCTCGAGAAGATGAGCAGAGTTGTCATTCGGATGTATTTTTCGTATTTCTAGTGAGCAAACCAATTCTAATTTTCTTTAGTCTAAACCTTTAAAAAGAAATATATTTATGTATACTGTGTTTGCAGAGGCACTTTTCCAAATTCAGAATTGATTGGAAAACTGACGCTATAATTTGTTTGTGAGTGTCGAGGTTTCATCTACATTAATATACAGCTGATTTTAATACTGAACTTGACATAACCCTAGTACCCAGTACCAGATATTATAAATGTCATTTAGTGGCATGAGAAAGATTGTGGTGTTAATTGTTAGATGCAGGAAATGACTGAAATACTAGAGAAAACATCATGGCTTGATTCGAACCGGAGCCAACATTATCGAAGGGTCTTTATTGTATGTTTTTTGTACGAGAATTACAGTTATCTACCCTTGTGGTGTGAATGAATATGGCAGACTTGATCGTTATAAAAGTTTCGGGGTGTTACGGTCACCGTCGGTTGTGTAAGAGCGACAGGGGATTCGAGACTTGTTTCTAATTTACTCACAGGTGCACTTTATATTATAAACCACGAATTCCCACCAGCTTCCACCACTATTTTGGATTTAAGAGGTGAGGTCCACCTCTTTCAGTGAGTGAGTGAGTGAGTATGGTTTTACGTCGCTTTTAAGCAACGTTCCAGCAGTATCACGGCGGGAGACACCAGAAATGCACACATTTTACCCATGTGGGGAATCTAATGACGAGGGTACGCTTTAACCACAAAGCTACCACACCGGCACATACCTCTGAGGGTGCACGTTGGAAAGGTTTCTTTATGTGAAAATGTTCGTGTAAGTGCAATATCTTACTTCCACTTTCCGTGAAATGAATGGGCTGACAATCCTGTGAAACCCAATGTTCTTTCACTTGTGACACCTCAATATACCAATACAAACGGTATAACGATATATTACGTAATGTTCGAAAGTCATGAAATTGGAGCTGTGTGCACGTGCAGGCGTCGTGTAACCCGGGCTGTTGGTTTCAATGTTCCATGGGCATTGCAGGTTTGTGGTGACAGAGCTGCTGCCAATGTCTACTATTCGCAAATTAAACCAATCAGACGAGGAATGAACCCTGCAGAATAGGGTAAGTCGTATGTAACAGTACTAGTGATGCTTGGCGTTCCATATTTGTCGCAATGCCATTTTACATTTAAGAGAGTTCTCTACCTGTACGGACACGGCTTTTGATAATGTAAGTGACGGTTGGGTTCGGGAGTATTTAAAACAGGACTTGTTCCAGTATATACTGGAAAATATACGTGTCGTAAAAAAAAATAAACAGGTGCCCATAGTGACGACGTGCATGCGTGTGTATGTGTATGTGCAGCTGCTTGTACTAGCCCAGACTTAAACTGGTTTTATAGTTCTAGCTCACTGAGATACCATGCCGCAGTGAAGCTTCACACTCTGAAATATTCTTATGAAACAAATGGAGTCAACGGGTGGAAATAACCCATTGCCCGACGTTCGAGTCCAGTGTTTTTTTCTGTCGGGCAAGCAACATTTGTTTATCACGCTGTACTGGTGTCCAGTTGACATTCCAATATCAGGGCAAGTGATTTTACCTGTGCCACTGTACCGGAATACACTAGTAATTTTAAAGTTATTTCCACCCCTGAATTGGAGTATTGTGTATATGAGGTGAAATTGGGTTTATCGTCGTGCTTGAGAATATTTCGCTCATATGACGACGTGCATGCGCGTGTACGTGTATGTGCGGCTGCTTGTACTAGCCCAGACACTAAGACACAATATACTGACTCCGAGCCGACCAGTCCTTGTTGTACCCATTAATGCCGAGCGCCAGGCAGGGACCAACAAGTACCATATTTTAACGTCTTTTGGTATGACGCGGCCGGGGATCGAACCCGCGACCTTACGCTCTCCGGGCAGACGCTCTAACCACTACACCACGGAGGCGGTCTGGACACGAATGAATAATAATACTGTGCGCAATCAGAAAATCGACCATAGGCGGTGGTAGCTTAGTGGTTTACGGGTTCGATTCCCCACATGGATACAGTGGTGTCTGGTGTCCGCCATCGTTCTGCTACAATGATTCTAAAAGCGGTGTAAAGCCATACTAACTCGCTCGTGTCGACCTCATATTGCAAGAAATTGGATTCTTGGGGTCAGACTGACCTGGCCCATTGTATCAGCTACTGGTTAGCATGACCAAGACTCGATTATAGCCACTGAATATTACCAGCCGGCAAAGTTAAACATTACTCGTATCTGGTATTTTCACATTTTGTTTGTTTACATGTCAGACCAGTCACTGTCGACATGAACACTAATCCATGATTATATTATTTCGATATACCGTATACGTCATATTCCGATATTTGACATGACCATCGCCTGAACAAGAGATACACAATACTCCAATTCAGGGGTGGAAATAACTTTAAAATTACTAGTGTATTCCGGTACAGTGGCACATGTAAAAATCACTTGCCCTGATAAGTTTTCCGCTCTACCGGCCGATTTTCTTGGTGATTTTTTAAACAAACAACATAATTAACATTGGAATGTCAACTGGACACAGGTACAGCGTGATATACAAATGTGCTTGCCCGACAGAAAAAAACACTGGACTCGAACGTCGGGCAATGGGTTATTTCCACCCCTGGACTTCATTTGTTTCATAAGAATATTTCAGAGTGTGAAGCCAATTTCTGGTTTCCCCGGCCGTGATAGTGCTGGAATATTGCAGAAGGCGGCGTAAAACCACACTCTTCCACTCATAAGAATATATACTATTGACACTTTGCTAAGGATCAAATCATGGATTCAACAGAAAACTATGATGTGGGGTCAAATTTGGTTTAAATATCTAAGCTTATTGTAAGCATGGATTCTAGGTCATTTCAACCTGTGGAACCCATACCTGCTATTGACAGATGTTGTGTACTTGTCAGTGACTCGTTCCATGATTTGCAAAATGGTTGATTCGTGCCATGAAAACCATTTTTATGGTTACTCATGTATCAAGCGCATAAGGTTAGATTAAAGTGACTGTTTGCCTAAAGAGGGATTACCATATTATTATTTATCCAGTTTTAAATGGATACAATTTCAAATTATAAATCTAAATCTAAATAATTATAAAAGTTGTGTTGTGAAGTTTTGTGATCCTTAGCAAAGTGTGAGTATTGGACAACATGGCCGACTATAGTGCGTTGTGCATCACTCATTAACTGGTCAAACAAAATAACGTTGATCGTGTGGACAAAATGGCTGATAAATGTGACTTTAGCCCTTTTCGGGTTTTGTCAGACCAATTCCTACAGCATGAATCGATTTTCGTGTTCTTGGTGTAAACGTAACGTAAACACCCAGCGTTCATGTACCGCCAACGCTCTGACGGAAAGTCACATTTCACAATGTATTTTACGAGCGCTTTGTATATTTCTTTGTTGGAGTTGCCTCCCTTACTCCACGTTTGTTTATTCGTCCTCTTTACTTCTATCGATCGCCCGTCGCGATCACCCTCATACTCTCGCTGGGTTTGGAGGATGCTCTGTGGAGCTGAATCTCATTCCCAGTGTCATAATCCCCTTGTGGACATTTCGTGTAAACTGGATATCGACAATAGTACTTAAGACTAAATTTAAAGGATGCACCAGGTCGGAAGACACCAATAAAAACCAATCGTGTAAGAAATATGCAAACACGAAGGGACTCAATTTGATTTTGTACCAAATTGTCGATTGTCACTTTGAAATAGCCCATGTCATTTACATTCTACACACGACTACTATGATAAACCAGAATTATCAGTTTCTTTTTATGGAAACGATATTTTTTGTTGTAGAAACCTCGAGATCAGA